GAGGGATGGAGGGGGATGGAGGGGGAGGAGGGGGGATGTCTTCCAAGACGTCTTCTTTTTCTTTTCCTGTGTCTGTCTCTCTCTGCTCCTCGCCCTCTCCCTCTCTCCTGGCAGAAGGGGTCTTGTGTGTGGCTGCCGGATGACAATAGGGAAGAAGAAGAAGGAGAAGAAGTGTTTAAAGAAGAACAAGTGATTAATGATTTTTTCTTGTATAATTCTCGCATTTTTCTTGAGGTGCCGTCCCCTCTGTCCTGTCCACAAAATAATGGCGGTGAACTTTTTTTTTTCTCTCTCTCTCTCTCTCTCTCCCCAGAAGGTTGGGTGGGGGGTGGGCATCCTCACAAAAAAATTTGCTCCTATTCACACAAGCAGCAGAAGGCCCCGACTGATAAAGGAGGCTTTAAAAAAAAAGAATCAGGATTCCTCGGTGGATTTTATTGTGCGCAGTTGTCAGCCCGCGCGCTAATTCATTTATTTCAACTGGGAGTGCTAGTGCTCTGGGGCTTTTGGGGTTATTGTGGAGGCACATGTGTGTGAACACTGGGGCGGGTGGTGCCTGTTCGGATGCTCCAATGTAGGACAATTGGTGTGCAGCGAAAATTACAGCATTCGGACACAAATATTATCTTTATGTGAGGAGAGGTGCACACAGCCGGAGGGAGTGTGTGTGTGTATGTGTGTGTTTGTGTGTGTGGAGGAGGGGGTATGAAGCCTCACAGCATTATAGTCTCCACAGTAAGAGGAAATATATAAATATAAATATATACATGTCTCCTTTTCAACAACTGGAAATAATGCGTAATCTGGCAAAGTGAAAAGACGCCACGGAGCAGAGTGGCTGATATTAAAAGAAGCCAAGAAAGACAGAGGAATTGATTATTACAGTAATGACACAGTTAAATGTGTGAAAATGCTCCATAGGCCCGCGTGTTGCCATATGTGAGGCTTTTACGCGTTTTGGCGCAGTGTCTGTGTGCGCGTGTGTGTGCGCGTCTGAGCACATCGAGGTGTACAGTTTGATAGGAGGGCGTTTTTTTTTTTTTGTTGCACTGGAGGAGCCTTTCATAAATAGGAAGAAAACAGATAAATGGGCAGAGGGAGTTTCTGTGGCAAGAGGCCCAGGGAGAAATCAACCAACAAGTAATAGGGAATCTTCTCTGGGCCGAGGAATACGAGCGGACCAATTTGGGGGGCACACTTTTTTTGTTTAAAGTTCATCGAGAGGAATGCTATTTTCTCGTTCTCCCCCCTCTTGCTCTATATTTTCGATACCTGCTCTAAGAAAAGAAAATGAAAATTAATACGGGAGCCGCGCCTTACAAAAGAAGCCATTCGTCTTGTTGATTATCTATTTGGTTGTCAGGGTTTGAGCTATGGCGCTGGCCCGCTCCCTTTTTGTAATATATAAAAAATAAAACACACATGCGCGCACAGCACCGGTCCAGAAAACAGCGATAGGAGGAGAGAGAGAGAAAAAAACTGTTGTGCAAAAATTACACTCATTAAAGCATTAAAAGACCACGAACCGAGAAACTATTTAATTTTTTTTTCTTCAGAACCATAAGAGGAAGGGAGGGAAGGAGGAGAGGGGGGGTCCTATACTCTGTGTCGGGCCGGTGCAAGCGCATCTGAGCAGCCGTTAAATTAACGGGAGAACAGGAGTGAAACGGAGGGACGGTTTGTGATTTAAAACGAGATTACAGGACGTAATGTACCAAGATCACTCACGGCCGGGACAGATTAATCATCGCGGGCTCTTGATTTCTCCAGACAGGTTGCTGTGCCTTTGTAGGCAAAAACCAACACTGAAATTACATTAAATAATTTATGTGCGCGTAGAAGCGAGTGTATGTTTGCTTTAAATACATCCTGCGCCGGTAGAGCCTGATGGCAGCGGAGAGGAGGACGCGTTACACAAACCCGCGGAAAACAAACACACACGAAAAGAAACGATGAGATTTCAATGTTAGACATGTTAGAAAAATAAATACAATAAATGTGAAGTGAAACATAAAACATGTTAAAGAGCTGAGCGTCCAGACTGGAGGATTCTATGACAGCAGAGAAATCAATTCAATCTGAGAAGAAACGGAGCAAAACGTCCCTTTGAAAGAAGAAAGAAGAGAAGATAGAAAATTATACATTTTCAGCCATTTATTTAAATTTCTATGAACTATTTACAAATAATAGGAAGGTGGACAGAGAGGAGGCATGAGCAGAGACAGGAGCACATCGGGGGACACATGTTCACTAAAGCATCATCATCATCATCATCATCATCAATAACCATAGAAACTAATCTTTGGAATGTAAATAAAATACCATCAATTAAAACACTTGCAGAATAAAATATCTAAAAAGTGGCACAACGTGAAGAAACATAGAGAGATGGAGGAAGAGGAGGAGAGGGCAGAAAGTGTGCGCGCATTTAATGTGCGGAGGAAAGAGCGACGAAGAGAAAAGATAGAAAAATAAATCAACACCGTTCATGCAACAAGAGGCTCCTTATTTTTCTGAATGTCCCTTTCTAGAACAATTGCTTATAATTAAATTACATTTTTTTTTTAACTTTCCACATACAAGAATACAAGAATTGTATTGCAGGTAATAATAATAATAATTATTATAATAACTCGTCACACAATTTCAAAAAATATAAAAGCTCGAGACGCTGTCACTTCATGAAACGAGCAGGAGAAAAAATAAGATGACCAAAAAATAAACATATATATATATATATAAGTACAACTGAGGTAATAGGTAGTACATTGCAATAGTGCTGTGTTTATAAGGTGTTCTGGAGCTATCTGTACCAGGAGTTGGGTGTGATTATTAGTGTTAGGCAGCTCTATAAACCCTGTTAGGTAGGTGGAGGGAAATGCGTTCCTGTGACCGTGTTCACGTTCATCACCCTGTTCCGTGGTTCCCTGTAACGACGTGAGCAGCCCGCGGACCGCCGGACGCTCCGGCGGCGCGCAGCAACACCGGCTTCAGCTCACAATCAACACTCAATTCAAAAATAACTAGAATTAAAATTTGAAAAGCTATATTTTGTCATTAAACAAAAATAAACACAAAAAAAGAGACAGAAATACAAACAGTTATACTTGTAGCAGCGGGACGGCGGAACCGCCTGCTGTCGTTTGGATCATACCGGAGGTTACATGAGGGTTGGACGACTATCAGGGTCTGTAGTGTAAGAATACTTCTCTTGACGAAACGAGACTTCCATTTATTACACGTGCGTGTGTTGGGGGGGTTAGTGGTTTGGAGACGGGGGCAGGGGGAGGAAGGGGGTGCAGGGGCTGGGGGGTAATGGGCAGAGCCGCGGTTCACCCCTTTGCTTTGTACCCGCAGAGTAAACATGACAAATGGGGCCCGAGTTTGGCATGATTAAAGATGAAAACGAGGATCCATCTTCACCAAAAAAAAGGAGTCTTGGATAGAAAAGGAAGAGGAAAGAAGCCACACACACGCGGGAACATTATCTTCAGCCCGCCGTCAGCAGCAGGCAGAGGGAGGCTATAAAAGACGGGGCGAGGAGCGGGCAGTGAGAGGGCAGAGGGACGGGTTCTGGACGCCACCACGCCGTTTCTCAGTTCTTTCAGTCTCCTTCACCTACTTTTGTTCATTTCATATTTTGTGAATGGGAGCTCCCCCCTCCACCCCCTCCCACGTCAGAGCGTCATATCTTAGTGAGGAGCATCAGATCAGGGCCGGACGGCGGCAGCGACTCCCTCCCTCCCTCCCGCCACAGCAAAGGCGTTATTCCGGTCCAAAGTGCAGGTTCCGGTGGTTACAAGCGTGGTGGGCCCTTCGGCGTTCAGTTTGGGTAATCAGGGAGGGCAGACATGAGACAGAGGGGAGCCAGTACCGGGCTATAGGGGTCCAGAGGAGCGGTTCTGGGAGCCGCTCAGAGCCTGGGAGTTTGTGTTGCTGCTGTTTGCCCCGGAGCGGACCTTGGTGTTGGGCAGCTTGTGGTCCTTCTTCCACTTCATCCTCCGGTTCTGGAACCAAATCTTGATCTGCCGCTCTGACAGGCACAGCGTGTGCGCGATCTCCACCCTGCGCCTGCGCGTCAGGTACCGGTTGTAGTGGAACTCCTTCTCGAGCTCCAGAACCTGCTGGCGCGTGTACGCCGTCCGCGAGCGCTTCGGTTCGCCCCCCGTGTAGTTGGAGCTCACTGTGGGAGAACAATGGAGACACACGTGAACCACTGAGAGCACACACACACACCGGAAACACACTGATGATAATAAT